CGCCATGTGGTCGCCTCCAGGGCAGGCGGGAATCGAACTCATGCGGAAGTGGCTTTAGCTTCTTAGTGCTATGCTTTAACCCGCTGCGCCACTAGGGAGGGCCCGTGAATTTTTTTTTTAATGGAGGGAACAAAATTGCTCAGAATCCAACTAAGCAAAATGTATACTCCCCTCTCCCCCACCTTTGGCCCTGGTCTTCAGAAGACAGACTACCCAGCAAGTGGCTGAGGTCCACCTCCTCTTAAGGAGAAGCACATCCAGAGTCAAAGAGAACACACTCTGCATCTCCAAGAAAGGAACTTAACCAGCAGTCTAACTGTGCCAGGTTCTGTGGATTCATGGTCAAAAGCACTGACCATCTGAAACTGAGTAAAATCAGGTCCTTTGTAAGAGATTGCATATTTGCATATGGATACACCACGTAGTCAAGAGGTTTTTTCCTCCAGTCCTTTTTACATAAAGTAAAAGCCTGATAGAAACCATATAGTGCTGATATAGTAACATGGCTCTCCAAACCAGAGCTCTAAGGGGGAGCGGATTTCCATGCAATTATTCATTCAACAAATACTTCTTGAGGTATTGTCTAAGGCACTGGGGAGAAAAGGTGACTCAGAGGCATGTCCTGCTTCTGAAAGCATGTGGAGTCTAGTTAGAACAATCAGATGCTTCTTCATGGAGTTGTCATACCATTATCAAATGGAAAATACTCTGGAGGTGATGGGAGAGTGGTCTTTAGAAGGTACACAGAACTGAGGATTTAGAAACCATCCTTAACTAGTTTTGTGCGTGGGTGTTTCGTAACCACAAAGAGACTCAATGTCTTCATTTGTAAAATGGAAATTGTGATAGTAAGTGAGCCTCATCTGACTGCTGTGAGACAGTCAGTGAACAAGGTAACACACATGAAGTGCTTAGCACAGTGCCTGCCATGAGGTGGATTTCATCAGGACTAGCAATGATTAATGATATTCCTGAGTCTCCTGGGTGTGAGGGCACTTCTCAATGGAAGGATGCAGTGAGATTTTCTTTAGGAGGCAGCATTTGAACTGGAGCTTAAAGACAATAGTTAAATATGGATCTAGGGATTTGGAAGAGAGAACCCAGAAAAGAGGAGGCCATATTGGAGGATTAGAGAGCAGTTGGTGATTTTTTTGTACCAAAAGATAGCATAAAGAAGAAGAGTAGGGCCCTCCATGGTGGCATAGGAGGTCAAAGCGCAGCACTAAGAAGCTATCCGCAGCCACTGAAGCCTGAGTTTGATCCCCAGCCAGGGAGGTGATCCACATGGGTCAGCAGATCTCTCCTTTGTTGCCTGCTGCTGCCATAAGCAGTGCGTTCGGTAAATCTGCCTGTTGGTCTCCACTTTGTCTCTGGTGACTCATCTCACCTGCCATGCGTCTGGCCTGTATCCCAGCTCTTGTATGCATAGATAGACCTTTTTAAAAAAAAGAAGGAGAAGAGTAAAGAATTCATATTGAAGAAATTGTGTAGGACAGACTAGAAGAGAGCTCAATTCCTGGCTGTAGAATGTGGGCCTAATTTCAAAAACATTAGGGACATTCCTAAGACTCTAAGGTTTCAGGTAAGGAGAGGTGGAATTTTATTATTCTTCAAGGTTAAAGTGGAAGCAATGAGTAAGAATTCAGGGATGCCACTCAGAAAGTTAAATAGATAGCCAGGCCAAAACCATTTTTTGCTTCAGGCAACTTCTGATAAAAATGGATCATCCCATACTAAAGCCACAATGGAAATGGTGACAGAAATGTTACTGATATCCATGTAGGAAATATATCCTGTTCTCAAAGAGAAAGGGGGTAAAAGAATCTGACTTTTTGACAACCTCTCAGCAGGAATAGCCATCATAAACAGCTCAATAATATCAATCTGTAACTGTGAGAGCCAGAGGGCTCAGTTTATAATCCATGCAAGCTAGCGTCTCGCCTTTCAGTATTTTATGGGCAGGAGAAATCACTACAGTCAAATAGTTCCTTGGAAACTAGACATGTCAGTAGGAAACAATTATCTGATTCGTAGTGGATTTTGGCTTTCCACAGCACCCCTGTGCCCCATGTAGCAAAATCTGATGGAAATTACAAACTGCAGAAATTCTGTTCATTGTCGCAATAACAGGATGCACCTGTAGATTTCGTAGAATTAGCAGCAGTGTTCTCTCAACATCAGTTTGAGAGAAATAAGACTATTTACATAGCACCAACTAAGGCAAAATCTGAAGCAGTATTGAGTTCTCAATGAAGGGGAGGCAGGGATCTGGACAGACACTGTCCATCCACCCACGTAAATGTGGATGAAAGACTTACATGCTCCAGTTTTTTGTTTGTTTGTTTGTTTTGTTTTGTTTTTGCATTAGTTTATTTGTTATTTGGGAGAAGAGCAACTTGAAAAGTGAATTTGCAGGTATTTTGGGTTTTCAGCTCCCTGGCCCCCATAATTAGATTGTGGACTCTCTGGAGCAGGACTTTTCTAATTTGCCTTTACACCTCCCACATCCTGAATGAAGTGGCTTGGTCCTGGATCTTCAGTTGTTATCATTAAAAAAAATATATGATGTCATTGAATTGAATGAGATTGAGGAATATTCCAATGACAGTATTTCATACGAACTATGAAAAAAAAAAATAGCAAGGGCAGCCGGTGTGGAAGTCGAAGCTGGGTGAGAGCTCAATCGCCATGCAGGGACCCCATCTCCTGCCGTCAGAAGCACAAGCAGCACGAGCAGGAGATTGGTGTACATTCTCCAGTCTCTGGCCACCCCACAGCAGCACAGCGTCTGCTACTTGCCCTATGATTATAGTGCCCTGGACGTAGCCAGTGCCCACACCATGCAGCTGCACTGTGGCAAGCACCACCCAACCCGTGTCGACCCACGAACACAGAGAAGTCCAGGAGGCGCTGGCCAAGCTGACTTTACAACTCAGCTAGCTCTTCAGCCTGCACTAAAGGTCAGTGGTGGAGGTCATAAAGGTCACACCATTTTTCTGGAGACGGCTGAATCCTAATAGTGATGGAGAACCCAAAGGGAATTAGTAGAAACCATCAAAAGGGACTGACAATTTCTGGGAGTAGTTGAATGGCTGTATCCAGTTGATTCAAGGCTCAGGCTGGGGATGGCTTGGTCTCAGTGAGCAACAGGGATGCTTATAGGTCACTGCTTGTCCTAACCAGAACCCTCTGGAAGGAGAACAGGTCTTATTCCACCACTGAGGATCAGAGTGTGGGACGTGTTTATTACCTGCAGTATAAAAATGTCAGACCTGGTTATAAAAAGATATTTGGATGTGATCAGCTGGGAAAATGTAACTAAAAGATACAACAAAGCTTGTAAAAAAAGTAAAACATTATCACCACACTGAATACATTTACATCTTTGTAGTAGTGTAGACCACCATAATGTTCCAGTAAACTTCTTAATGTGGCTTATTCAATTTTTGATAAATATAATTTCATGCTGAAAATAATTTCTTATATTTAAATGTTGCTATCAAGCCACTGTTTAGAGATAGTAAATGCTTTTGTGATTATAAAAAGAAAAGACTAAATTGTGGGACTTCAAGTGGAGATTTCTGGGCCATATCTAAAAGACAGAGGACAGGAAATCTTGATGCACCACAGGCCTGGGAAAACATCTCATATTGAACCGAAAAAGCACAACTATGTAAATAACAGGTTCTCTGCACCAGTACTGGTCATCTTGTGCTGCCACTAGCCAGGAAAGTAGATTTCTCCCTGCTTTGAAATCTGGCTTTGAGGTCACAGCCCAGCATTTAGCTACGCTAGAAAAAGGAGAATGTGAGATGAGAGAGTAAGGCTGCTTTCATGTGGTGAACTGGGTGAGGCAGGCAGGCCTGAATGCTTAAAGGATCCTTTTAGAGTCCACCAATCAAATCCCTTGTCAAGGGCCCATCTCTTTTCCTCTTTGATTAGATCATAAATATCCTCAGAACAGGGACATATCTTAAATTTCTTGGGTCTTCCCCAGATCCAAGCATAATGTTTTAATTATAGGTGATTGGTCAATATTTGTTAATGGGCTGCTCAACATAAGTGAAATTCTTTTATCTGAGTTTCGCCTTTTCCTTTCCTTAGATTTCCTTGGTGGAGATACTAGTAAGTAATGAGATGGTAAGAGAACCATCTCATTAGTAGGAAAGCGGGAAATCATGTGATTTCTCAGCTAAATAGGCTTTCCTCTCGTCCTTGTCTCTCAAAGAGAACTGTGCTCAGCATTTTAATGAAGCCTCAAAGCTTTCAGTTCCAAAAGGCATGAACAAGAAATGGAAATTTTACTCAAGATTTTTGTGGACTGTTGGAAGAAAGCATTAACATTGCAAAGTAAATAGCAAACTGTTACCTTCCAATTAGTTATTAAGTCTCATTTAAGCAATAATTTCCCCAAAGTTCTCCATAATTTTCACTCTTTCCTTTTCCCTTGAAGCTTCATTTAGCCACTTTTTCTTTTTTCCTATAGAGCAACATTTCTTGCCTTGGTATCTCTAATGTGTACCAAGATGTCCAACCTATCAAGCATACCTCCGAGAACTGTTTCCATGCCTGAAAAATATTAATAATTGGATTCAATAGCATGCTCATCTCAGTAACCCATGGTCTCCAGTAAGACCCCGTCCTTCCTATCAAGGACACCACAGTCACTCCAGACTCACATCCATCTGTGTTTCCTACTTCCTCTTCCCCTTCCTCTTCTCTAGTCTGCTCCCTGCTTTTTATCTCTGCATTCAATCATTTGTGAGTCATGTCTTTTATGTTCTTTTCATAGGAGAGTATGTGCCATTTGGGCCTAAGGGCATTGTTGAAATGACCATGACAAACCATAACGGTAAGTGACATGAAAGATGACTGATTTCTGACCACCTCTCCTCCTTTCCCCTACTACTCCTCACCCTCCTCCTCCTTGATCTAGATTCTGATCAGTAGAAACAATTTCTGTCCGAAACTCTCCTTTATGTGCGGGGAGACACTGGAGAGCCAAAGTTTAGGGTAGCCCGGCTAATAAATGTTGTAAACAAAGTTTCTGTCTTCAAGGATCACCCAGTATAGGGGGACTGAGAGAACAAAAGCAAACAACTCACTCTTGTCTGTCCATAGTGGCTTTGTGCCACTCGCCTAACCTCATCCTCACACATTGATTTAATCATCTGTCAACCTTTCCCATTCCCCCATGCTGGCTTCATTCCCTTGTTATCAACATCTTTACTGGGAAAAGATGAAACTCGAATGAATTGTATCTCGACCAAAGCCTGCAAGTACCATTCTCTGCTTGCATCTCCATTACCCAGGGATTAAAAACTGCATTTTTTTCCATTGCACGACATTCTGACATTCTGCTATTCCAGCATGCATCACTTCATCCAGCTCCTTATTATTCATGCCTGGGGAGCATCTTAGCATCTCTACAACTCCAATCTCCTCTGTACCTTTACTCTCTCCAGCACACCAGGCCATCTCAGGCTAATTATGACCTCACCGGGATTATGCTTGGACATCTACAGTGGCTAAAGTCCAAACATATTATTCTGCCCTTCAAGAGCCATCCCATTCTGAACCCAACTGATGTTTCTACCTCTCTACCCAACTCTACTGCTGATCAGACACAGACTGTGTTGTGTGCTTCAATTTCCACTTACCAAGACCTACAAGGACAACTTGCAAGTGTTTTGTCAATCCTATCAACCCAGTAGCTTCTCCCTTCCTGAATGTTTATTGCTCTTCTTATTAGGATATTCTAATATCACTTTTGATCATTAGAAAATCGTCTCCAAACTAAGATAAGGCAGTTTGGGTCAGAAATGTGTTGCACAATGTGATGAACAGTGTTGTCTAGAAAGTATCAAATGTTTCTAATGGTAGAGCTGAGCAATTTAACTGAGTCTAAACTTAAGTAGTTGACCATCTGCCTGTGAGAGGAATTTAGTTAACTTTTACCCAGTGTAAAAGTTAGAGTTATCTATCAGTGTTGTCTAACTACCTTTTCTTCCAAAAACAAATAAACAAAAAGACCTCTACTCAAATATTGGAACTGCACTTATTAAAAATTCCTCCTTTTAGAAGACTTTTATAAAACGTTGAGGAGTTTTCACAAAAAAATAGTCTTAGACTGTTTTAACATCTGCTAGTCATATTTTTCAAAATACATGTATTATTACAGCTAGATTCCTATATATATTACATACTTTGTTAATTGACATGAGTTCAAAGACTTAGTATCCACAGGCCTGTCTCTAGTGATCCACAGTTTGGCACAGAAATGTTTAAACTGCAAGTTTGGACTTGAAGGTCAAAGCACCAGGCTGAAACACCTGCCAAATTACTGGCTATATGCTGACTAAATCTTTCCAAGAGCAGAAACCATATAGTCATCAGATTCTCAAAAGGATTCTAACCCCTAAAAAAATTAACCACCAGACCAGAGGAAGAAACAGCGTATAAATATGGGGTTACAGTACAGCATGGCAAAGGCTGAGAGAGTGAGTATATAAAGGATTAGAAAAGGTCTCTGGGAGGAAGTGATACTCATGTCTTTCCATCTTAGTTATATGTTTCTCAAGGGCAGCAGCTTTAACATATTGGCCCTCAGCAATGACAGCATATATGATTCCTGACACAGTGTGCTTTCTTTTCCTCTCCCTCCATCTTTTGTCTCTGCATCATACAGCCAGTCATTGGCTAAAAAGTTCAAGACTGAAAGGTCAGCTCAGTGCTAACTACAAAACTCAATTAAGTTATTTGTTTTACATTAGCCCAGCTTAACACCAAGAGTTAGTCCTCCGATTGTGTCAGAAAAATTATGAAGCTTTGTATTATGGTATTTCTTGAACTGTTCATTAATATGAATTTAAGTATCTTGCCATTACAATTAGTTAAATGTTTAAAGATATTTGTTTTGTTGTTTCCATTATTTAAATATTATTTATTTATTTTTAAAGATTTATTTATTTAGTCCATGAATAGGAAAACTGGGAACAGGCCAGAGGTTGAGCTAGGGAAGATGAGAGGACCCACCAGAGACAGAGTGGGGAGCAGAACAGGCAGATCGACGAAGTACACTGCTGAGGGGAGAGTGGGCGGGTCAGGAGAGGTCTGCCACACCATGTGGTCACCTCCCTGGCTGGGATCGAACTCAGGCTGTGATGGTGGTGCTGAGACTCACCCCTTCGACAGACTCAACCCTGTCTCCCATTTTTTTAAGTAGTGAATCTACCTAGGTATTGAATAGCTACTTAAGTAGTAGTAAATTCTTGTTTCAAATGTCAGGATATGCAAATGTCAAGTTTATGCAAAATTTTAAAACAATTTTAGGAAGAAATTTGAACACAATAGGCTCACATGTGAATATACTGCACATGTATGGTAGAGATAACAGTGAATAGCAATTCACTCTTTAGTAGATTTGTTGCTTACAGCAAAATAGCATTTTAAAAGATAAGGTAAAACAGTTTGTGGTTAGATGACAAAATCCTGGGCTTGCCCCCTCTCCCCCAACTGAAGCAATTTCATTATTAGTTGTTTTTATGTGATTTGAGAACCGTTGAACGTCCCCTAAGCAGGCCTGCTGCCCCTAGAGAAATCACTTCCAGGAACACATGGTGTCTGATCTGTCCATTAGGTCAACTGTATTAGGGTAAGAACCTCGACATAATATACAGCTAACATAAAAATGTTTACTGCTTTCTGGTTCACATAGCAGGCAGACTTCTCCTGACCCGCTGGCTGCTCCCCTCAGCAGTGTACTTCGTCGGTCTGCCTGTTCTGCTCCCCACTCTGTCTCTGGTGAATCTTCTCACTGCCCCTGCACCTCTGGCCTGTACCCCAGCTCTGTAAACATAAATAAATAAATCTTTAAAAAAAAATTACTGCTTTCTTACACAACAACTTGGGGTACTTGTTCCGACATGGGTAGCTGCTCCAGGTGGAGCTGTGCTGCCGTTTCAACCCACTTCCAATATGATGCTGGCCACAGTCATTCCAGCCAGCAAGAGAGAAGAAACCAGGTTTCCCAGTTAAACGAATCAGGTTGCAGTTCTGAGTATCACTTCCATTAACATTTCTTGGGTCAGAACGTCATCACTAACCAGACTTGGAGAGAGAAGCCTAGGGAATGTATTCTATTTATTCTCCTAAAAAGAAAGGAAAAATGATTTCAGTGAACAGGTCCATCACATTAACTGTTCTGTTCATTTATCAGTCTCTAGTTTACTAGAGTTCTAGTGATGTGACTTGAGTTTTAATTTCATTACATGTTTGTATTATTATTCAGTTTAATGAATACCCAGGCTCTATTTTTTTTAAAGATTTGTTTATTTATGCACGTAGAACTGGGGTACAGGCCAGAGGTGCAGGGATGGTCAGAGGATTCACCAGAGACAGAGCTGGGAGCAGAACAGGCAGACTGATGGAAGTACACTGATGAGGGGAGCAGGGGGCGAGATAGAAGTCTGAGCACCATGAATACCCAGCCTCTATATCACATAATCATGTTGACTTGGCTCTGTGACAAGAATAATTTTTTTAACTTTTTAAATAATATAATAGTTTATTATATAGTTTATTTTTTTATTTTGTGCCTTTTTCCATCTCAGTTGTAATCCCCTTGGGCTTCCCATCACCAAATCACCTGTGTGCCATCACCATAGTCCAGTGCATTTCCCTCCCCCCCAGTGTTTTTGATCCCATTCCCCACTCTACCTCCATAAAATGTCTCTGGTATATAGCTGTTCATTATGATAAGAATAATTTTATATGGTTTATTCCAACCAGGACTGACTTGAACCAGTAGCAACTCTTAACATTTCAAAGTGAAAACAAACAAAACAAAATCCAACTTACATATGCTTAAAAGTTGAGAAGTAAACTTCCCAAGGTAAATCATCTCATGCTTTTTTTGAGTAGTCTACAATAGCTGTACTCTTCCATTCCCCAATATAATACAGAATAGGATATAAGGACATTCAAACATGAAGCTCTAACTCAGCAACAATAATAAAAATCAGTTAATTAATAATTAATAACTTAAATATTAACTAAATAAATCAATCATACCCACATGACTATTTTATTTTAATCATTTTACATCATTCTCAATAATAAAATACAAAATATCTAATGTTTTGTTAATAATTCACTATTTTGTTACTAATAAAATAGAATGGAGTTAGCTGTTCTAATTGACTATGAGGGATAAAGGTGAGGTTGTGTTATAAAGAAAAATAAAATCCTGATACAAAGTTCGGTTATTTTATATAGCAACAATTTAATTTCTGGGCTTTATTTTTGCATCTACTTTAGTCCATATGTACTTATGAGTCCTTGTCCACATTTCTTTGATATCAGAAAATGTATAAATAACCACCATTTAACTTAACTTTAACTTCATGGAAAAAATAAGAAACTAATATGACACTGAAGGTATTCATGAAATTTAAGTATTTGTTACTTTCCAATAGGAAATGTTAATTCCTAAGATCTACTAAAGTAGGAAAAAAAAAAAAAAAGGAAGCTCAGAGGTCATTACAGCTTTATTTGCTCTTCTTCACAAGTTTGCTCATGCTTATCAGGATTCCAAGTTTTGGCATCGTTTTCCTTTTATGGCCTTGGTCTTGAATGGGGCCTTTCTTCACTTTCCTATTCCTATCTTTATGAACAATCCAAATCCTAAAGCTTTCAGGTGGCAATAAACCAGGGCTGCGGTGCTCCAATATAAGTGGGACAATGACCCAAGCCGGGTTCCCAGCCCAAAGGCATTGCGAGGGTGTGGTCATGGGAAGGTCTTCTAGAATGGGGAAAGCAGAGCCAGGTTGGGGTCTGAGGGGTAGACATGTG